GTCTGAGCTAGCGGAGGTGGTCTCTAATTCGGCCTTGGTTTCCCAGCGCCTGGTGGTGCTGGGAGATTTTAACATCCACGCTGAGACCACCCTATCTGGTGCAGCTCAGGACTTTATGGCCACCATGACGACCATAGGACTGTCACAAATAATATCTGGTCCCACTCATCAAGCTGGACATACTCTTGACCTTGTTTTCGTGGCGGACAACGAAATGATTAGAGTGGAAGATCAAAACATCCTTCCGGTGTCATGGTCTGATCATTATCTGATCAGTTTTAGACTTGCTGCGACTCTTAACCTCCGCAGGGGTGGAGGACAGATTAAAATGGTCCACCCTAGGAGACTGATGGATCCGGATGGATTCCTGAGGAATCTTGGGGTTCTTCCTGCCTTGGAGCCTGGCGGTTCTATCGATGCCTTGGTGACTCTCTATAATAGGGAGATGTCCAGGGCGATAGATACGATCGCACCCGAATGCCCCATCTCGTTGCGTCGTGACAGGCCATCTCCCTGGTTCACTGGGGAGCTGGCTGTGATGAAGCACACGAGAAGGGGGCTAGAGCGCAAATGGAGGAAATCTCGGGACGTGTCTGATCGAGCACGGGCTAAAGCCTCTCTTAAGGCATACTCCGTGGCTATATGGGTGGCCAGGAAATCATTCACGACCACCCGTATAGCATCTGCAGCAAATAGATCATCGGAGCTGTTTCGGGTCGTGGGGGAACTCCTCCACCCACCTGTGGTGGAGGAGGTCACTGATGACCCAGCAGCTCGGTGTCGCGATTTCGCACACCATTTTGCAGGTAAAGTCGCCCAGATACGCCTTGAGCTCGACTCCAATTTCATCGCAGTGCCAGAAGAGGTGACGGAGGCATCTGCTTGTCCAATTTTGTGGGATTCTTTTAGGCTTGTTCTTCCTGAAACCGTGGAGGAGATTCTTGGGGCTGTGAGGGCGACCACCTCATCTCTAGACCCGTGCCCATCTTGGCTCATTAAATCAGCCAGGGAGGGGCTGGTTGATTGGTTTGTATTGATCATCAATGCATCGTTGGAGCAAGGGATTTTTCCATCTAATTTGAAACAGGCTGTGGTTCGTCCACTCCTCAAAAAGGCTTCCCTTGACTCCACGGTGCTGAGCAATTACAGGCCAATCTCCAACCTCCCTTTTTTGGGTAAGGTGCTGGAGCGGGTGGTCGCCTCCCAGCTCCAGAGCTTCTTAGATGATACCAACTACCTAGATCAGTCACAGTCTGGTTTCAGGCCTGGTCACGGCACCGAGACAGCCTTGGTCGCCTTGGTGGATGACCTCCGCAGAGAGCTGGACAGGGGGAGTGTGACTCTGTTGGTTCTCTTGGACATCTCAGCGGCTTTCGATACCATCGATCATGGTATCCTTCTGGGTCGTCTCTCTGGGATGGGCCTCGGGGGCGCGGTTCTGTCGTGGCTCCGGTCCTTCCTGGAGGGACGAACCCAGATGGTGAAGCTGGGGGACGCCTGCTCAGACTCCTGGCCTTTGACCTGTGGGGTCCCGCAAGGCTCTATTTTGTCGCCCATGCTTTTCAACATCTACATGAAACCGCTGGGAGAGGTCATCCGGAGTTTTGGAGTTGGGTGCCATCTTTATGCGGATGACACACAACTCTACTACTCCTTTCCACCTAATTCCAAGGAGGCCTCTCGGGTGCTGGACGAGTGCCTGGCCGCTGTGTCGATCTGGATGAGGAGGAACAAGCTGAAGATCAATCCTGACAAGACAGAGGTCCTCCTGGTCGATCGTAAACCGGATCGGGGTATAGGGTGGCTACCTGTGTTGGACGGGGTTACACCCCCCCTGAAACCACAGGTCCGCAGTTTGGGTGTCCTCTTGGATTCGTCGCTCACACTTGAGGCTCAGGTGTCGGCGGTATCCGGGAGGGCCTTTGCACAATTGAGACTTGTGCACCAGCTGCGACCGTACCTCGCGAAGGCTGACCTGGCCGGGGTGGTCCATGCCTTGGTCACCTCTAGAATGGATTACTGCAATGCGCTCTACATGGGGCTGCCCTTGAAGACGGCTCGGAAACTTCAATTGGTCCAGCGGGCAGCAGCCAGGATGCTAACTGGGGCCATTACAGAGAGAGGTCAACCCTCCTGTTTAAGGAGCTCCACTGGCTGCCATTTATTTTCCGAGCCCAATTCAAGGTGCAGGTGCTCACCTACAAAGCCCTGAACGGTTTGGGACCACCCTACCTGCGTGACCGCATCTCCATCTACGAACCCACATGCTCGCTCCGGTCATCTGGGGAGGCCCTGCTCGTGATCCCACCCACGTCGCAAGCGCGCTTGGTGGGGACACGGGACAGGGCCTTCTCTGTGGCGGCCCCCCGACTTTGGAATGCCCTTCCAAAAGATCTTCGACAGGCCCCTACCTTAGCAGCTTTCAGAAAGAACCTAAAAACTTGGCTGTTCCGATGTGCCTTCTCAGATTAGGAATCCCCCATCCCAAGTCCTAGAAGCACTTTAGTACAATTAATATTCTGCACACCACACTATTTTATCCTACGTTCCTCCTGCCATTCCAGCACTTTTAACCCTGTACCCCTTTGCACTGGCCGGCCCAGTTTTAAGGTGTCTTGATGTATTGTTATTGTTGTTATTTGCTTAATTATTTGATTTGCTTTGTTGTTATTTGCTTAATTATTTGATTTGCTTTGTCTATTGTTGTGTTATGTTTTTATTGTATTGTGTTCTGAGGCTTCGGCCTGTGTAAGCTGCATCGAGTCCTCCAGGAGATGCTAGCGGGGTACAAATAAAGTTAATAATAATAATAGAATAAATAATAAATACCTCCTGAATCAATGGAAGGGAAACAGGTGTGGGATTAACATTACCCCGCCGGGGTTGTTCATGGAACCCAATTACATAACTTTGTGCCACAATGGACAAGACACATTTGTCAGTAGAATCCTAGAATCCTAGAGTTGGAAGAGACCTCATGGGCCATCATCCAGTTCAACCCCATTCTGCCAAGAAGCAGGAATATTGCATTCAAATAACCTCTGACAGATGGGCATCCAGCCCCTGTTTAAAAGCCTCCAGGTAAGGAGCCTCCACCACACTCCAGGGCAGAGAGTTCCACTGCTCAACGGCTCTCACCGTCAGGAAGTTCTTCCTCCATCCACGGCATTCCCCGCATCTAGCAAGCTTGTAACTCTTATCGAAAAAAGAGATCAGATGAGTCTGGCATGACTTGTTTTTGATAAATCCATGTTGACTATTAGCGATGACCGCATTTGTTTCTAAGTGCTTGCAGACCACTTCCTTGACAATCTTTTCCAGAATCTTGCCTGGTATCGACGTGAGGCTGACCAGACTATAGATCTTGGTGACACTGACACTTCATCAGACCCCCCTGATTCTGTGCAAGCTACAAGGGGAGGGGACGTGACTGTTCAATCTGCTGACTTCAATCAGTTTAATGCATTGGTTGATGGAATGATTAAGGCCCTTGATATCCCCTCCCCGAAACCCCCAGAACCTGTTGAGGACCCAATGTTCCTGTCTGAGGAACAGAATGTCATCCCTTCTACATCTTTACCTGTGTTACCTTACCTCATTATGTTGGCTAAGATCTCTGATGTACCCGCTTCGGGGGTCCCTGCAATGCCTAGGAGGGCAGATTCACTTTATAAGATTGATGTATATTCCGCTAGGTGGGTCTCTAACCCTCCTAGACCCAACACCGTGGTAGCAGAGGTCGTAAAGACCAAACACCCTAAGGGCTCTCTGTCTGCCCCCCCCCCCCCCCCCCCCCCACGATAGAGAAGGAAGAAGGTGGACTCCCTGGGTAAAAAGGCACATCTCTCAGTTGGATTCTTTACCCGCATGGCGCATTATGCCACTTACGAGTGGCTACCAGAGTTTTTTTGGGTCAAAAATGTTGCCATACATCAACATGTTGCCTCCTGACGCACGTCTTCCAAGGGCCGCCTGAGCTCTGTGAGTGCAGCATTTTTCTGAATGAAGCAGAGTGTTTGAAGACCAGGACATTCATGAGGAGACCAAGGTGCTTGTTTATAATGCTATTGTCCTCCCAACCCTGCTATACAGTTCTGAAATGTGGACTCTCTACAGATGTCACACTCAACTCCTGAAACGACGCCGTCAGCATTCCCTCCGAAAAATCCTGCAAATCTCTTGGGAAGACAGATGGACAAACGTTAGCGTGCTGGAAGAAGCAAAGACCACCAGCACTGAAGCGATGCTCCTACATCACCAACTCCACTGGACTGGCCACATTATTTGATTGCCCGATCACCATCTCCCAAAGCAGTTACAATACTCCCATGTCAAGAACAGAACATGGAATGGTGGTGGACAGGAAAAGAGACTTCAAGATGAACTTAAAGGTAACCTTAAAAATTGTGGCATAGACACTGAGAACTGGGAAGCCCTGTCCCTTGAGCGCTCTAGCTAGAGGTCAGCTGTGAGCAGCAGTGCTGTGGAATTTGAAGAGGCATGGATGGAGGGAGAAAGGGGCCAAGGGGAAGGCGCATCATGCCAACCCTGACTGGAAACCGATGCCCTCACTGTGGAAGAACATGCAGGTCAAGAAGAGGGCTTCACTGTCACCTCTGTATGCTCCATCAGGACACGACACTTGGAAGGCCCTCATACTCAGAGAACGAGGGATTGCCTAAGTGAAACCCTATTTTTTTCGATTCTTGATGGCAGTCAACTATATACATAGCTTATTTAGTTAAGATATGGTAATAGATTAGTAATATACATGTACATATTTATAACTATCAGTCACGTATGATCTATACATAATAAATCTTAAAGAGTCCCTCTTGGCATCATTTTACTAGACTGTGAGTGCTTGCCACACTCAAGGCATCCCAGTGTGGGTTCTATTATGTTTTTGAAGATTTCCACTTTCACAGAAGCTCTTTCCACATTCCAGGCACTGATAGGGTTGGTTTGTTTGTTTATTTATTTATTTATTTACTTACTTACAGCTTTTATATTCTGCCCTTCTCACCCCGCAGGGGACTCAGGGCGGATTACAGTGTACACATATATGGCAAATACTCAATGCCAATTTTGACATACAACATATACAGACATACACATAGGCTATTTAACTTTTTCTGGCCGCCAGGGGAGCTGTCGCTTTCATTGTCCATCTGCGACACTGATGAAGCACTTCTGCATTCCCCGCATTCTTTTTTGCTGGAATGCTTTGCTGGAGTCTTCTTTATGGCCTCATAAATTAGTTAATTTAGCCTCCCCACACTTTAAGGTGGTACCTAATTTTCCTACTTGACAGATGCAACTGTCTTTCGGGTTGCAAAGGTCGACAACAGGCTACACAATTGGTTGGAAACCCACTCCAACCCGGGCTGGCTTCGAACTCATGACCTTTTGGTCAGAGTGATCTTAATGCAGTTGACACTCAACCAGGTGCGCCACAATCCCAGTGGGTTTCTCCCCAGTGTGAATTTGTTGGTGTTCATGTAGACTTCCACTATCAGTGAAGTTCTTTCCATACTCCAGGCATTCATAGGGTTTCTCACCAGTGTGAATCCTTTCATGTTGCTGCAGATGATCCCTCCGTGTGAAACTCTTTCCACACGCCAGGCATTCATAGGGTTTCTCCCCAGTGTGAGTTCGTTGGTGGTTATGTAGGTGTATACGCTGAGTGAAGCTGTTTCCACACTCCAGGCATTCATAGGGTTTCTCCCCAGTATGAGTTTGTTGGTGTTTACGTAGGTTTCCACTGCCAGTAAAGCTTTTTCCACACTGCAGGCATTTATAGGGTTTCTCCCCAGTGTGGATCCTTTCATGTTGTTGCAGATTATGTCTCAAAGAGAAACTCTTTCCACACCCCAGGCATTCATAGGGTTTCTCTCCAGTGTGAGTCCTTTGATGTGAATGTAGACGTCCACTTTGGGTGAAGTTCTTTCCACATTCCAGACATTTATAGGGTTTCTCTCCAATGTGAGTTCTGTGGTGAGACCGTAGACTCCCATGCGAAGCGAAGCACCTTCCACAATCCAGGCATTTATAGGGTTGCTCCCCAGTGTGAGTCCTTTGATGTGAATGCAGACTTTGACTGTGTTTAAAGCTCTTTCCACATTCCAGGCATTTATAAAGTTTCTCCCCAGTGTGAATCCTTCCATGTTGCTGCAGATAATGTCTCAAAGTGAAACTCTTTCCACACTCCAGGCATTTATAGGGTTTCTCCCCAGTGTGAGTTCGCTGGTGTCTACGTAGGTGTAAATTCTGAGTGAAGCTCAGTCCACACTCCTGGCATTTATAGTGTTTCTCCCCAGTGTGAGTTCGTTGGTGTCTACGTAGGTGTAAATTCTGAGTGAAGCTCAGTCCACACTCCGGGCATTTATAGGGTTTCTCCCCAGTGTGAGTTCTTTGATGTGAATGCAGACTTCCACTCTGGCTGAATCTCTTTCCACATTCCAGGCATTTATAGGATTTATCACCAGTGTGAATCCTTTCATGTTGCTGCAGATTATGTCTCAAAGTGAAACTCTTTCCACACTCCAGGCATTCATAGGGTTTCTCCCCAGTGTGAGTTCGTTGATGAACGCAGATCTCCACTCTGACTGAAGATCTTTCCACATTCCATACATGTGTAGGGTTTCTCCCCAGTGTGTGTTCTTTGATGTGAATGCAGACTTCCACTCTGGCTGAAGTTCTTTCCACATTCCAGACATGTATAAGGTTTCTCCCCAGTGTGAATCCTTCCATGTTCCTGCAGATGATGTCTCAAAGTGTAGCTCTTTCCACACTCCAGGCATTTATAGGGTTTCTCCCCAGTGTGAGTTCGTTGGTGTCTACGTAGGTGTGAATTCTGAGTGAAGCTCTGTCCACACTCCTGGCATATATAGGGTTTCTCCCCAGTGTGAGTTCGTTGATGTAAACGCAGATCTCCACTCTGGCTGAAGTTCTTTCCACATTCCAGACATGTATAAGGTTTCTCCCCAGTGTGAATCCTTCCATGTTGCTGCAGATGATGTCTCGAAGTGAAACACTTATCACACTCCAGGCATGTATAGGGTTTCTCCTGCATGTTGACAGTGGTATGCATTTTTAACTGCAATATGGACACTTCTGTCTTCTTTTTCCCTTTCTTTTTGCCAAAGTCCGTTCAGCAAGATCAGCACCTGGAGAGGATGTCTTTTTCATACAGGACCCTTTTCCTTACAGCTTCTTTGGTTTCCAAATTCCACAATGATCACCAGATGCTGTTTTGTTTGTCATTTCACCAGAGATATCGCCATGGAATCCTTATGTTCCTGGTCAAGAAAAAAACAGCAAAAGACATGAAGTCAAAAAAAAATCCTTTCCCTCCTTTCTCTTCATAAAAGTTTGCTGCTACCAAATTTCCTGGTATTCCCAAATGAATCCTCCACTCAGCCAAGAATCTGCCTCCGATCTGGATACTTCAGATCCAGATTTAAACCTAAGGTATTCTTTTTTGTTTTTTTTTTATTTTTTATTTATAACCTATTGAGGTATTTCACAACTTTCTGTCTGGCTGCTGAACCTATTCCCTTCTCTGGCTTCCATCCGCTCCGTTGTGCGCCTTAGAAATGGATCCAAGGCAGAAAATGCCTCGGGGGGGGTACGCTTCCTTTCTCCTCTTCTCCTTGGCTTCTCTCCAGGGGACATTTCCCAACAGCTCAAGGATCTAGAGAAACAGGGCATTCCATATAGGGAGGGAGAAATGTTTGCAGGAATTAAAAGGAATGAAGTCCCGGCCTGGGGAAGAACGGGCATCTCCTCTGACCAGTCCTCCCACAGAAGCTTCCTCTCAAATGCTCTCCCGTACGTGGGTGGGACAGAGAGGAAAGGGAGAAGCCAATGTGCCAATTTCCCCCCAGACATTAAATAAAAACAAGGGCCTACAAGTCTGGCCTCTCAAAAGGATATCCCAAGAAAACTGGGGGGTTTTGAAGAGAAAAAGTCTTCCCCGTGATGCCAAAACTCAGATAACCACTTGAGGAGCCGTGTGGACCCCGTAATCGGAGCGCCTGCTACTTGTAAACAAGATCAACACATAGACCGGGTTTGAAGGCAACAGGAACACAGGTTTATTACTTTGAGGGCTGAAAGAATGCCGTGTGTGTGTGTGTGTGTTTGTAATGTTTGTTTGTGGGAGAAAAATAACTAAGAAACCAGGTAAGCTGGGCCAGAACTGTTTAGAGCAGAGGTTCTCAAACTAAGGTCCGCGGGTCGGATGCGGCCCTCCGAGGTCGCTTTTTTGGTCCCTGGTCTAAACTTTAGACTTAGGGTCACCTTAAATCTGAAAGAACTTCATGTCACACAACAGCAACAACAACAACCAGAATTAACTTGATTATCTGATCAGCCAAAAGCAGGCCCACCATTCCCATTGAAATACTAGTAAGCTTGTGTTGGTTAAAATTGTTCATCAATTTAAATACTGTGTTGTTCTTCTATGGGTTTTTTTTTGCAAGACAAACAATAGAGGAACAATGAACCGGTTTGAGGTCCCCTCGCTTAGAGCTTTATGGCTCAAGCCAGCACTTGGAATGGTACTCGGGAGCAGATTGGAAGCTAGTGGAGCTGACGTCACGGGGGGGGGGTGTTGTATGCTCCTTGTGTGCCACCCCGGTGAGCAATCTGGCTGACACCCATTGGACCATTATTAGTATTACTATTATTACAAAGATTCAATGGCCATCTGTCACGGGTGCTTTGATTGTGCCTTCCCTACATGACAGAATAAAGACTGCTGGACTGGATGACCCCTGGGCTTGCTCCTATGAGTATTACTAATATTGCAAAGGTTGAAAGGCCATCTGCCAGGGGTGCTTTGATTGTGCCTTCCCTGCATAGCAAAATAAAGACTGCTGGACTGGATGCCCCCTGGGCTTGCGCCTATTAGTGTTCCTATGTTTGCAAAGGTTGAATGGCCATCTGTCGGGGGTGCTTTGATTGTGCTGTCCTTGTATGGCAGAATAAAGGGGGCTGGACTGGGTGGCCCCTGGGCTTGCTCCTATTGGTATTACTATTATTGCAAAGGCAGARTGGGCATCTGCAGGGGGTGCTTTGATTGTGCTTTCACTGCATAGCAGAATAAAGACTGCTGGACTGGGTGGCCCCTGGGCTTGCTCCTATTATTATTATTATTATTATTATTATTATTATAGCAAAGGTTTAATGGCCATCTGTCGAGGGTGCTTTGATTGTGCCTTCCCTGCATGGCAGAATAAAGRCTGCTGGAGTGGATGGCCCCTGGGCTTGCTCCTATTATTATTATTATTATTATTGCAAAGGCTGAATGGCCATCTGTTGGGGGTATTTGATTGTGCCTTCCCTACATGACAGAATAAAGGCAGAATAAAGACTGCTGGACTGGGTGGCCCCTGGGCTTGCTCCTATTAATATGACTATTATTGCAAATGCTGAATGGCCATCTGTTGGGGGTGCTTTGATTGTGCCTTCCCTGCATGGCAGAATAAAGACTGCTGGACTGGATGGCCCCTGGGCTTGCTCCTATTATTATTATTATTGCAAAGGCTGAATGGCCATCTGTTGGRGGTGTTTGATTGTGCCTTCCCTACATGACAGAATAAAGGCAGAATAAAGACTGCTGGACTGGGTGGCCCATGGGGTTGCTCCTATTGATTTGACTATTATTGCAAAGCTTGAATGGCCATCTGTTGGGGGTGCTTTGATTGTGCTGTCCTTGTATGGCAGAATAATGGGGGCTGGACTGAGTGGCCCCTGGGCTTGCTCCAATTGGTATTAATATTATTGCAAAGGCAGAATGGGCATCTACAGGGGGTGCTTTGATTGTGCTTTCACTGCATGGCAGAATAAAGGGGGCTGGGCTGGGTGGCCCCCGGTGTTGCTCCTATTAGTATTACTATTAGTGCAAAGGTTGAATGGCCATCTGTCGGGGGTGCTCTGATTGTGCCTCTCCTGCAGGGCAGAATAAAAGGAGGCTGGGCTGGGTGGCCCCTGGGCTTGTTCCTATTAGTATTCCTATGATTGCAAAGGCTGAATGGCCATCTGTTGGGGGTGCTCTGATTGTGCCTTCCCTGTAGGGCAGAATAAAGGGGGCTGGACTGGGTGGCCCCTGGGCTTGTTCCTATTATTGCAAAGGCTGAATGGCCATCTATCGGGGGTGCTTTGATTGTGCTGTCCTTGTATGGCAGAATAAAGGGGCTGGACTGAGTGGCCCCTGGGCTTGTTCCTATTAGTATTACTATTATTGCAAAGGCTGAATGGCCATCTGTCGGGGGTGCTCTGATTGTGCCTTCCCTGCATGGCAGAATAATGGGGGCTGGACTGGGTGGCCCCTGGTGTTGCTCCTGTTAGTATTAATATTGGTGTTGTTAATTGGAAACCGCCCTGAGTTTTCTTCTTATATGATTATATTATTGCAAAGGTTGAATTNTTGTATGCTCCCTGTGTGCCAACCTGGTGAGCAATCTGGCTGACACCCACTGGACCATTATTAGTATTACTATTATTACAAAGATTCAATGGCCATCTGCCAGGGGTGCTTTGATTGTGCCTTCCCTGCATGGCAGAATAAAGACTGCTGGACTGGGTGGCCCCTGGCCTTGCTCTTATTATTATTATTATTATTGCAAAGGCTGAATGGCCATCTGTTGGGGGTGTTTGATTGTGCCTTCCCTACATGACAGAATAAAGGCAGAATAAAGACTGCTGGACTGGGTGGCCCCTGGGCTTGTTCCTATTAGTATTACTATTATTGCAAAGGCTGCATGGACATCTGTCAGGGGTGCTTTGATTGTGCTTCCCCTGCATGGCAGAATAAAGGGGGATAGACTGGGTGCCCCCTGGTGTTGCTCCTGTTAGTATTGGTGTTGTTAATTGGAAACCGCCCTGAGTTTTCTTCTTATATGATTATATTATTGCAAAGGTTGAATTGCCATCTGTTGGGGGTGCTTTGATTGTGCCTTCCCTGCATGGCAGAATAAAGGGGGCTGGACTGGGTGACCCCTGGGGCCTTCCACTGAAATAATGTTAGGTTTGCCTTGTTCAAAGAGTTTGGCCATGCCAGATTAGATAGATAGATAGATAGATAGATAGATAGATAGATAGATAGATAGATAGAGATAGATTAGATAGAGATAGATAGATAGATAATAGAAAGATAGATAGATGATAGATAGAGGATAGATAATAGATAGATATAGATAGAGATAGATGATATAGATAGATGGTAGATAGATTAGATAGATAGATGATAGATAGATTAGATAGAGATAGATAGATAGATAATAGAAAGATAGATGATAGATAGATAGATAGAGGATAGATAATAGATAGATATAGATAGAGATAGATGATATAGATAGATGGTAGATAGATTAGATAGATAGATAGATGATAGATAGATTAGAGATTGATAGATAGATAATAGAAAGATAGATGATAGATAGATAGATAGAGGATAGATAATAGATAGATATAGATAGAGATAGATGATATAGATAGATGGTAGATAGATTAGATAGATAGATAGATGATAGATWGATTAGATAMAGATAGATAGATAGATAATAGAAAGATAGATGATAGATAGATAGATAGATAGAGGATAGATAATAGATAGATATAGATAGAGATAGATGATATAGATAGATGATAGATAGATTAGATAGATAGATAATAGATATATAGAGATAGATTGATAGATAGATAGATCGATAGAGATAGATAGATTGATAGAGATAGATGATAAAGATAGATAGATGATAGATAGAGATAGATTAGAGAAACAGAGATAGATAGATGATAGATATAGATATATAGAGATAGATAGAGATAGATATAGAGATAGATASATAATAGATAGAGATAGATTAGATAGATTAGATAGATGATTGATAGATAGATGCACCCATGATGGGCAATATGCCACCCAAGCCTTTCTTGGGTCTTCCTGGGCAAACTTTTCAGGGAGGGAGGGGGGAGGGGGGAGGGAGGGGGCTGTGGCGCGGTGCATCCTGGGAAGGGGAGGCGGCCTTGACTGTTTTGAAGGCCTTGGTTTCCCTCCCTGGACGAAGGCCCCGCCCTCCCCCCTCCTCACAGGAAGATGTCCTAAGAACAATCCTCATAATCCTAATAAGAAGAAGAAGAACCCTCTACCTGCCCGTCCCTCCCTCTCCGTGGCCTCTCCCTCGACGCGGCGCCAGAGGAAGCGCTTCCTTCCCTGCCGCCATCTCACCTCCCCTCACCTCAGGGAAAATGGCGGACGAGCGGGCGGAGAAGCTCCCTCAGGCTCGCCCGAGAAGAAGCCCGCCCCCTCCTCCTCCTTCGCCCTCCCATTGGCCGAGACCGCGAAGCCCCGCCCTCCCAAGGCTCTCATTGGTCGCCTGCAGCCCCCTCACCTCACCTCGGAAAAATGGCGGGCGGGAGGGCGGAGAAGCTCCCTCAGGCTCGCCCGAGAAGAAGCCCGCCCCCTCCTCCTCCTTCGCCCTCCCATTGGCCGAGACCACGAAGCCCCGCCCTCCCCACGGCCCGCATTGGTAAACTGCCCCTGTGCAGCCTTGATTGACAGGTCCAGAAAGCTCAGAAGCCTCCTTCCGTGCCCATAGAATGACCTTGGCCCTTCTCCACACACACAACAACCCTGCCAGGGAGGCCAGGCCCAGAATTGAGAGCCTTGGCCCTTCTCCATACAATCACAGAATCAAAGGGTTGGAAGAGACCTCCTGGGCCATCATCCAGTCCAACCCCATTCTGCCAAGAAGCAGGAATATTGCATTCAAAGCACCCCTGACAGATGGCCATCCAGCCTCTGTTTAAAAGCTTCCAAAGAAGGAGCCTCCACCACACTCCGGGGCAGAGAGTTCCACTGCTGAACGGCTCTCACAGTCAGGAAATTCATAGAATCCTAGAGTTGGAAGAGACCTCCTGGGCCATCATCCAGTCCAACCCCCTTCTGCCAAGAAGCAGGAATATTGCATTCAAAGCACCCCTGACAGATGGCCATCCAGCCTCTGTTTAAAAGCTTCCAAAGAAGGAGCCTCCACCACACTCCGGGGCAGAGAGTTCCACTGCTGAACGGCTCTCACAGTCAGGAAATTCATAGAATCCTAGAGTTGGAAGCGACCTCCTGGGCCATCCACTCCAACCCCATTCTGCCAAGAAGCTGGAATATTGCATTCAAATCACCCCTGACAGATGGCCATCCAGCCTCTGCTTAAAAGCTTCCAAAGAAGGAGCCTCCACCACACTCCCTCTGGGGCAGATAGTTCCACTGCTGAACGGCTCTCACAGTCAGGAAATTCATAAAATCCTAGAGTTGGAAGCGACCTCCTGGGCCATCCACTCCAACCCCCTTCTGCCAAGAAGCTGGAATATTGCATTCAAATCACCCCTGACAGATGGCCATCCAGCCCCTGTTTAAAAGCTTCCAAAGAAGGAGCCTCCACCACACTCTCCGGGGCAGAGAGTTCCACTGCTGAACGGCTCTCACAGTCAGGAAGTTCTTCCTCATGTTCAGATGGAATCTCCTCTCTTGTAGTTTGAAGCCATTGTTCCATTGCGTCCTAGTCTCCAAGGAAGCAGAAAACAAGCTTGCTCCCTCCTCCTCCCTGTGGCTTCCTCTCACATACTTATACATGGCTATCATATCTCCTCTCAGCCTTCTGTCAAACAAGTCATGCCAGACTCATCTGATCTCTTCTTTCAATAGAGTTACAAGTTGGGTAGATGCAGGGAATGATGCCGTGGATGGAGTGTACCTGGATTTCAGGAAGGCCTTCTTTGACAAGGTCCCCCATGACCTTCTGGCAAGGAAACTAGTCCAATGTGGGCGAGGCAAAACCACGGTGAGGTGGATCTGTAATTGGTTAAGTGGACGAACCCAGAGAGTGCTCACCAATGCTTCCTCTTCATCTTGGAAAGAAGTGACGAACGGAGTGCCGCAGGGTTCTGTCCTGGGCCCGGTCCTGTTCATCTTTATTAATGACTTAGATGAAGGGCTAGAAGGCATGATCATCAAGTTTACAGATGACACCAAATTGGGAGGGAGAGCCAAGACTCCAGAGGAAAGGAGCAGGATTCAAAACGATCTTGACAGATTAGAGAGATGAACTAGCAAAATGAAGTTCAACAGTGACAAATGCAAGAGACTCCACTTAGGCAGAAAAAATGAAATGCAAAGATACAGAATGGGGGACAATGAGGCCTGGCTCAAGAGCGGTACGTCTGAAAAAGATCTTGGAGTCCTTGTGGACAGCAAGTTAAACATGAGCCAGGAATGTGATGTGGCGGCAAAAAAAGCCAATGGGATTTTGGCCTGCATCAAGAGGAGCCTAGTGCCTAGATCTAGGGAAGTCATGCTCCCCATGCTCTATTCCGCTTGGTTAGACCACTTTACCTGGAATATTGTGTCCAATTCTGGGCACCACAATTCAAGAAAGATATTGACAAGCTGGAATGTGTCCAGAGGAGGGCGACTAAAATGATCAAGGGTCTGGAGAACAAGCCCTATGAGGAGCGGCTTAAGGAGCTGGGCCTGAAGAAGAGAAGGCTGAGAGGAGATATGATAGCCATGTATAAATATGTGAGGGAAGTCATAGGGAAGAGGGAGCAAGCTTGTTTTCTGCTGCCCTGGAGACTAGGACACGGAACATGGCTTCAAACTACAAGAAAGGAGATTCCATCTGAACATGAGGAAGAACTTCCTGACTGTGAGAGCCGTTCAGCAGTGGAACTCTCTGCCCCGGAGTGTGGTGGAGGCTCCTTCTTTGGAAGCTTTTAAACAGAGGCTGGATGGCCATCTGTCAGGGGTGATTTGAATGCAATATTCCTGCTTCTTGGCCGAATGGGGTTGGACTGGATGACCCAGGAGGTCTCTTCCAACTCATTGATTCTATGATTCTAAGGCCCTCACACTCAGAGAATGAGGGATCGCCTAAGTGAAACTCTGTTTTTTCTCTTCTTGATGGCAGTCAACTATATACATAACTTATTTAGTTAAGATATGGTAACAGATTAGTACATATTTACATGTACATATTTATAACTATCAGTCACGTATGATCTATACATAATAAATCTTAAAGAGTCCCTCTTGGCATCATTTTACTAGACTGTGAGTGCTTGCCACACTCAAGGCATCCCAGTGTGGGTTCTATTATGTTTTTGAAGATTTCCACTTTCACAGAAGCTCTTTCCACATTCCAGGCACTGATAGGGTTTGTTTATTTATTTATTTATTTACTTACAGCTTTTATATTCTGCCCTTCTCACCCCGCAGGGGACTCAGGGCGGATTACAGTGTACACATATATGGCAAATACTCAATGCCAATTTTGACATACAACATATACAGACATACACATAGGCTATTTAACTTTTTCTGGCCGCCAGGGGAGCTGTCGCTTTCATTGTCCATCTGCGACACTGATGAAGCACTTCTGCATTCCCCGCATTCTTTTTTGCTGGAATGCTTTGCTGGAGTCTTCTTTATGGCCTCATAAATTAGTTAATTTAGCCTCCCCACACTTTAAGGTGGTACCTAATTTTCCTACTTGACAGATGCAACTGTCTTTCGGGTTGCAAAGGTCGACAACAGGCTACACAATTGGTTGGAAACCCACTCCAACCCGGCTGGCTTCGAACTCATGACCTTTTGGTCAGAGTGATCTTAATGCAGTTGACACTCAACCAGGTGCGCCACAATCCCCGTGGGTTTCTCCCCAGTGTGAATTTGTTGGTGTTCATGTAGACTTCCACTATCAGTGAAGTTCTTTCCATACTCCAGGCATTCATAGGGTTTCTCACCAGTGTGAATCCTTTCATGTTGCTGCAGATGATCCCTCCGTGTGAAACTCTTTCCACACTCCAGGCATTCATAGGGTTTCTCCCCAGTGTGAGTTCGTTGGTGTCTATGTAGGTGTGAATTCTGAGTGAAGCTCAGTCCACACTCCAGGCATTTATAGGGTTTCTCCCCAGTGTGTGTTCTTTGATGTGAATGCAGACTTCCACTCTGGCTGAAGTTCTTTCCACATTCCAGACATGTATAGGGTTTCTCCCCAGTGTGGATCCTTTCATGTTGTTGCAGATTATGTCTCAAAGAGAAACTCTTTCCACACCCCAGGCATTCATAGGGTTTCTCTCCAGTGTGAGTCCTTTGATGTGAATGTAGACGTCCACTTTGGGTGAAGTTCTTTCCACATTCCAGACATTTATAGGGTTTCTCTCCAATGTGAGTTCGGTGGTGAGACCGTAGACTCCCATGCGAAGCGAAGCTCCTTCCACAATCCAGGCATTTATAGGGTTGCTCCCCAGTGTGAGTCCTTTGATGTGAATACAGACTTTGACTGTGTTTAAAGCTCTTTCCACATTCCAGGCATGTATAAGGTTTCTCCCCAGTGTGAATCCTTCTATGTTGCTGCAGATAATGTCTCAAAGTGAAACTCTTTCCACACTCCAGGCATTTATAGGGTTTCTCCCCAGTGTGAGTTCGTTGGTGTCTACGTAGGTGTGAATTCTGAGTGAAGCTCTGTCCACACTCCTGGCATATATAGGGTTTCTCCCCAGTGTGTGTTCGTTGATGTGAATGCAGACTTCCACTCTGGCTGAAGTTCTTTCCACATTCCAGACATGTATAGGGTTTCTCCCCAGTGTGAATCCTTCCATGTTGCTGCAGATGATGTCTCGAAGTGAAACACTTATCACACTCCAGGCATGTATAGGGTTTCTCCTGCATGTTGACAGTGGTATGCATTTTTAACTGCAATATGGACAATTTCTGTCTTTTTTTTTTCCCCTTTCTTTTTTCCCAAAGTCCGTTCAGCAAGATCAGCACCTGGAGAGGATGTCTTTTTCATACAGGACCCTTTTCCTTACAGCTTCTTTGGTTTCCAAATTCCACAATGATCACCAGATGCTGTTTTGTTTGTCATTTCACCAGAGATATCACCATGGAATCCTTATGCTCCTGGTCAAGAAAGAAACAACGAAAGATTAGACACGAAGCCAAAAACTCCTTTCTCTTCATAAAAGCTTGCTGCTACCAAATTTCCTGGTATTCCCAAATGAATCCTCCACTCAGCCAAGAATCTGCCTCCGATCTGGATACTTCAAATCCAGATTTAAACATATCAAGGCATTCATATCATTCGTCTCTGCTGAAGGCAACAGGAACACAGGTTTATTACTTTGAGGACTGAAAGAATGTCATACATATAGGTGTGTGTGTGTGTGTGTGTGTGTGTGTGTGTGTGTGTAATGTTCGTTTGTGGGAGAAACATAACTAAGAAACCAGATAAGCTGGGCCAGAACTGTTTAGAGCAGAGGTTCTCAAACTAAGGTCCGCGGGTCGGATGCGGCCCTCCGAGGTCGCTTTTTTGGTCCCTGGTCTAAACTTTAGACTTAGGGTCACCTTAAATCTGAAACAACTTCATGTCACACAACAACAACAACAACCAGAATTAACTTGACTATCTGATCAGCCAAAAGCAGGCCCACCATTCCCATTGAAATACTAGGATGCTTTTGTTGGTTAAAATCATCATTTTAAATACTGTGTTGTTCTTTTATGTTTTTTTTTTTTTTTTGCAGAACAAACAATAGATCTGCCGTGTGCATAGGAATTGGTCCATGTTTCTCTCAAAATATAGCCCGGCCCCCCAACAGTCTGAGGAACAATGAACCGGTTTGAGGGCCCCTCGATAAGAGCTTTATAGGCACAAGCCAGAACTTGGAATGGTACCTGGCAGCAGATTGGAAGACAGTGGAGCTAACGTGACTGGGGGGGCGGCGGGGGGGGGGGGGGGGGGGGGGGGGGGGGGGGGGGCGTTGTATGCTCCCTGTGTGCCAGCCTGGTGAGCAATCTGGATGACACCCATTGGACCATTATTAGTATTACTATTATTACAAAGATTCAATGGCCATCTGTCATGGGTGCTTTGATTGTGCATAGCAGAATAAAGACTGCTGGAGTGGATGGCCCCTGGGCTTGCTCCTATTATTATTATTATTATTATTATTATTATTATTATTGCAAAGGTTTAATGGCCATCTCTCAAGGGTGCTTTGATTGTGCCTTCCCTGCATGGCAGAATAAAGGGGGCTGGACTGGATAGCCCCTGGAGTTGCTCCTATTAGTATGACTATTATTGCAAAGGTTGAATGGCCATCTGTTGGGGGTGCTTTGATTGTCCTTTGTCTGCATGGCAGAATAAAGTCTCCCTACCTGAGCTAGCGGGGGTGGTCTCTGGCGACTCGGCAGCTCGCTGTGAAGCTTTTGCTCAGTTCTTTGCAGACAAAGTCGCTTTGATCCGTTCTGGTCTGGATACCATGTTAAAAGCAGTCTCTGAGGATGTAACATGAGCACCTGCTTGTCCAATTTTGATGGATTCATTTCAATTGGTGAAACCCGAGGATGTGGACAAGATACTTGGAGGAATGAGGCCTACCACGTCCATCCTAGACCCCTGCCCATCCTGGCTTCTAAAGGAGGCCAGAGGGGGATTGGCTGAGTGGGTGAAGGTGGTGGTTAATGCCTCCCTTCGGGAAGGCAAGATTCCAGAGAGCTTAAAACAAGCTATAATAAAACCGCTGTTGAAGAAACCATCACTGGACCCCACTAAATTCGACAACTATCGGCCTGTTTCCAATCTCCCCTTTTTGGGCAAAGTCCTGGAACGCGTGGTGGCCTCACAACTCCAGGTATTCTTGGGAGACACGGATGATCTGGATCCGGCACAGTCTGGTTTCAGACCGGGACATGGTACCGAGACAGCCTTGGTCGCCTTAGTGGATGATCTGCGCCGAGAGCTCGACAGGGGGAGTGTGTCCCTGTTGGTGCTGCTGGACCTCTCAGCGGCCTTCGATACCGTCGACCACGGTATCCTTCTGGAACGCCTCACGGGGATGGGTCTCGGAGGTACTGTTCTGCAGTGGCTCCGGTCATTCCTGGAGGGTTCCCAGAAGGTGTTACTGGGAGACACCTGTTCAACCCCACAACCTTTGTCTTGTGGGGTTCCTCAGGGCTCAATATTGTCTCCCATGTTGTTTAACATCTACATGAAGCCGCTGGGAGATCATCCGGAGTTTCGGGGTGCGATGTCATCTGTACGCGGATGATGTCCAACTCTGTCACTCCTTCCCACCTGCTACTAAGGAGGCTGTCCAGGTCCTGAACCGGTGCTTGGCCGCTGTGACGGTCTGGATGAGGGCGAACAAATTGAAATTGAATCCAGACAAGACAGAGGTACTCCTGGTCAGTCGCAAGGCCGAACAGGGCATAGGGTTACAGCCTGTGTTGGATGGGGCCGCACTCCCCCTGAAGATGCAGGTTCGCAGCTTGGGTGTGACCCTGGACTCATCGCTGAGCCTGGAACCCCAGGTTTCAGCGGTGACCAGGGGAGCATTTGCACAGTTAAAGCTTGTGCGCCAGCTGCGCCCATACCTTGGGAAGTCTGACTTGGCCACGGTAGTCCACGCTCTGGTTACATCCTGATTAGACTACTGCAACGCTCTCTACGTGGGGTTGCCTTTGAAGACAGCTCGGAAGCTCCAATTGGTCCAACGATCGGCAGCCATGATTCTAACAGGAGCGGAACGCAGGGAGCATACAACCCCCCTGTTGCGCCAGCTCCATTGGCTGCCAATTTGCTACCGGGCTCAATTCAAAGTGCTGGCGTTGGCCTTTAAAGTCCTAAACAGTTCCGGCCCAACTTACCTATCTGATCGCATCTCTGCCTATAAACCCACTAGGGCTTTGAGATCATCCGGGGAGGCCCTGCTCTCGATCCCGCCTGCTTCACAAGCACGGCTGGCGGGGATGAGAGATAGGGCCTTCTCGGTGGTGGCACCTCGGCTGTGGAACGCCCTTCCCATGGACATTAGATCTGCTCCATCATTAATGGTATTCCGGAAAAAGTTGAAAACCTGGTTATTTGAACAGGCGTTTGAATAGACAGTGCAATGAGTGTAATGAACATAGGAATGGAACAATGGATGACGAATCTGGATCATGTTTTTAGTTATGAGACGTCAGTGGATGGTTATTGTTGTTAACTGTTAATGTGTTTATGATGTTAATTGTTTTTATATATGTTGTAGCATTGAATTTCTGCTGTTCTTGTTGTTAACCGCTGTGAGTCTCCTAAGGGCTGAGAACAGCGGTATACAAATAAAGTAAATAAATAATAAATAAATAATAAAGGGGGCTGAACTGGGTGACCCCTGGGGTTGCTCCTATTAGTATTACTATTTGTGCAAAGGCTGAATGGCCATCTGTTGAGGTGCTTTCACCTCTCACTACATGACAGAATAAAAGGGTCTTCCACTGAAATACTATTAAGTTTGTCCTGTTAAAAAAGTTTGCCCATGCCTCTCATATATATGTGTGTGTGTCTATCTATATCTATATAAATAAAAATGTAATGTTTGTTTGTGGGATTAGCATAACTCAAAAACCACCGGGCGAATTGACACCAAATTTGGACACAAGACATTTACATTTACATATACATATACATATACATACATACATATATATATATATATATATATATATATATAATATATATATATATATATAATTATATATTATTACTACTACTACTACTACTCGGAGCCCCCGGTGGCGCAGTGGGTTAAAGCACTGAGCTGCTAAGCTTGTTGATCGAAAGGTCGCAGGTTCGATTCCGGGGAGCGGCGTGAGCTTCCGCTGTCAGCCCTAGCTTCTGCCAACCTAGCAGTTCGAAAACATGCAAATGTGAGTAGATCAATAGGTACCCGCGGGAAGGTAAGCGCGTCCCATGCAGTCATGCGCGCCACATGACCTTGGAGGTCTACGGACAACCCTGGCTCTTCGGCTTAGAAATGGAGATGAGCACCACCCCAGAGTCAGACATGACGACTTAATGTCAGGAAAACCTTTACCTATATATATATATATATATATATATATATATATATATATATATAGACACACACACACACACACACACCATAATGTATGAATATAATGTGTGTGTGTATGTAGGTGTGTGTGTTTATATGTATATAATAAATGCTCTGTGCATAATGAGTGGCTTAAAAACAAAAAAACTATGGGGCCAAATGACCCCAAATTTGGCAACAAAACTCCTCACAATCCAAGGAGTGACCATCACTGAAAAAAACCCCCCACAAAAACATACTGAAATTCAAAAAAGGAAGATAACAACACACCTCCCCTACCCCCTGCCACTCACGCGGAGGACACAGAATGAAAGTTCCGAAGCAGCTGTGGCCCCTAACTAACACTAAGGCAAGGGATCAAAGGGCAGAGGCTGAGGAGGAGGGGGAGGAAGGAAAAAAGAGGGAGGTGGGCCACACTCTGTGCACACACTCTGACTCTCTGTCTCCCACACACACACTCCCACAGCACAAGGGAAGGAGGAAGGTGCCATGATGGGGGTCATAGGGACACACGAAACTGACATTGCTTGGAAAGGAGCCCTAAAGACCATCCAGCCCAACCTCATTTGGCAGTAAAGGAAGACACCATCAAAGCCCTCATAACGGATGGCCAACCAGTTGAAAGGGAGCCCTAAAGGCCATCCGGTCCAACCCACTCCTTCCTTCCTTCCTTCCTTCCTTCCTTCCTTCCTTCCTTCCTTCCTTGGAAGCTTTTAAGCAGAGGCTGGATGGCCATTTGTCAGGGGTGATTTGAATGCAATATTCCTGCTTCTTGGCAGGGGTTGGACTGCATGGCCCATGAGGTCTCTTCCAACTCTTTCCTTCCTTTTTCTCCTCCCCTCACCAGCTTCATCCTCCTTTATTAAAACTACAGTGTAGATGCACCCAAAGTCAACCCTTCCACACTGCCATGTAAAATCCAGATTATCTACTTAGGACTGGATTATATGGCAGTATAGACACATCCACACATGTACACACACACACACACACATATGGATGGATGTTGGATCACTGGTTGGT